GAAGAAGAAGAAGAAGAAGAAGAAGAAGAAGAAGAAGAAGAAGAAGAAGAAGAAGAAGAAGAAGAAGAAGAAGAAGAAGAAGAAGAAGAAGAAGAAGAAGAAGAAGAAGAAGAAGAAGAAGAAGAAGAAGAAGAAGAAGAAGAAGAAGAAGAAGAAGAAGAAGAAGAAGAAGAAGAAGAAGAAGAAGAAGAAGAAGAAGAAGAAGAAGAAGCCATCCCATTCCTGTTTAGACCTTCAGGCTCTCATAAAAACCGACTTGCAAATATGGCTTGCAAACCCCATCTTTTGAAATGCAGAAAAGCAGAATGTGAATTGCTTATGGCAATGAACCTGTTGTTTTCGCTCCCTGCGTGTCTCCAACAGATGCATTCCTAATCACGCAACCACATCCATGTTCGCTATGCTTCATGAATGCAACCCAGCCATCCAAGCATGCATTTTCCCGACAAGGAACAACTACGGTTGAAAGTGCATAATCCTCTGCGGAATAGTTGTTGAGTGGGCTTGGGGTACGGATGCTTTATTAGCCTTGGCTGGTGGAGGCACCAGGAAACATTGCCTGGGCTTGGAAGCTGAACAAGGTTCGCATTCCGAAGACTGGTTACTGTCCCAGGGAAATCCCAGCCTGCTTGCTAGATTGGGAAGTCCCCAAAAATTAGATCACGTAACCCTGTCAAGAAAGGTCCTGTTGTTTGCCTGGATTCACCAGAGGCTCTGCTCCATTGGAAGGAAACCTGACCTCTGGAGTTAGTCTTCCTCTCCCAAGAAGAGAACGTCCAGGGGTGCAGACCTGACATTTAACCAAGAGCCTTCAAGAGACATTTCACATCACCGTTATATTTTTCTTGGTTGCCCACATTTTCTCTATGGAATTTCCTGCTGCCAAAGGAACCTTCATGGCATGCCTACAACGGACATCTGCCGGGCCTCTGCCTCCAGAAGTTGCAATCGTGGCCTCCTTACCTCCATGTAAACCACCCATGGCATCACCAGCGTAGCCACGAGCAGGTCGGCCACGGCAAGGCTGACGATCAGGTAGTTGGTGGTGGTCTGCAGGGCTTTCTCCTTGGACACAGCCATGCAGACCAGCACGTTGCCAAAGACGATGACAAAAATGAGGAGAGTGAGCAGCATGGCATAGTAGTTGTACTGGGTGGGCTTCTGCTCCAGGCTGGAGCCATTGAGAGTCCTGTTTTCATAGCTGTCGTTGTACCAGGAGATATTTGGGAAATCCATGGAGAAGAAGCACCCTCAGTTTGGACACCTGCTTGAGATGAAGGAATAAGTCAGGGTGTGTTTGGGTAAGTATGAGCCAGCCGTGTGCAGTGGCAGCCTAAAAGCCCACACAATCCTAAACTGCATTAACAGAGGGATACAATCAAGATCAAGGGAGGTACTAATACCACTCTATAAAGTCTTAGTAAGACCACACCTAGAGTACTGCATCCAGTTTTGGTCACCACACTATAAAAAAGATGTTGAGGTTCTAGAAAAAGTGCAGAGAAGAGAAACCAGGATGATTAGGGAACTGGAGGCTAAAACATATGATCATCGGTTGCAGGAACTGGGCCTGGCTATTCTAGGGAAGAGAAGCACCAGGGGAGACAAGGATAGCAGTCTTCCAATATTGGAGGGGCTGCCACAGAGAGGAGGAAGGGGTCAAGCTGTTTTCCTAGGCACCCGAAGGCCAGACAAGGAACAATGGATGGAAACTGAACAAGGAGAGATTCAACCTGGAAATAAGGAGAAATTTTCCAACAGTGAGAGCAATCAACCCATGGAACAGACGTTGCCTTAGGAAGTTGTGGGAGCTTCATCACTGCAGGCTTTCAAGAAGAGACTGGATTGCCGTCTGTCAGACATTGTTTAGGGTCTCCTGCTTGGGTGGGGGGTTTGGACTAGATCACCTACTGGGTCCCTTCCAATTCTGTTAATCTGCTAAAACTGGACAGGTCTCTGTTCATGACCAAACACAGCCTCCCCCTTTCTTGGGGCACAAAGATTCCAGAGTGCAATTATTGTACATGACTATTTGGATTGCTTACATCCTGCGACAGTATCTGTAACACCATCAAATCTGCCTATTCCAAATCCTTGGGAAGGACTTAATAGATGGATAAAAAAAATGCCAAATCCTGTCTGTACATCTGCTGATTGTGCGACAAACCAAAATAATAATCCCCAAACATCTGGAGCACCACTTGAACACCAGCAGCATTGAAAAAATCCCCATCGGTCAATTGCAAAAGGCAGCTTGACTTGGAACAGCTGATATCCTGCAATAATATCTCTAATGCCATCGAATAAAAATGTCTACCTATCTCAGGTCCTTGGGAAGGTCTCGGGAGGAGGATAAAAATGCCAAATCCAGTCTGAACATCTGGCTGACTGCGCGACCACCCGTAATAATAATCATTATTACATGTATTTATATATTTGTTCCATTCATGTAGCCCTGCAGCGAGTTACTGAATCCATTTTCTGGATGTGTACAAGCCACTAAACCATCAACATAACTAGACAGACTCAGTTCACATGACCTAATAAAAGCTGCGTGAAAGCAGTCACTAAGCCTTTGTCAAGTTGTGAATTATGGTTTTAATGCATTGCATTAATTTATCACTAGTGAGTAGCTGAGAGTAAGTTTTCATTCATTTCAGTTCCTAAGGACTTTTCTTTGAGTGTTTAGACCAGTGAAGTCATAGGAGACAGACACACACACACCACACACACATATACACCTATTATTACTACTTACTATTATTCCTACTCCTGTTGGTGTGAGCTAGAAAATCCTTTAAATCTTGATACTTCTTTGCAAAAGCAAAAACTTTTAGCTATACAATTTAGGATGAACCCCCTTGGAATGGTGTGGGAGGAGGAATGGATTTCCAGAGGAAAAAATTGCAGGCTATAGGAACCATTTGCACTACTCAGGTGACCCTGAGGACACAGATAAACCTCCAAGTGGCCTCAGTGACTCTCTAAAAAGGATGCAAATGATCAGTTCTGTCTGCAAGGAGTATAAATCCTTCCATTCCCCACTATCCTATCAAGAGCTGAAGAAGCTTCTTGGGTGAGAAGCGAAACATTCTCACAGAAAAATCAAGGAAGTCAGTTGCCTCCTGAAAAAGCACCTTTGGGATGACTTCTTTGCAAGTTTATATTGTTGTATGCACACATCCGGAATTTAGGGAACACTTTTGCATTTAATGAATAAATGCTCCAATCCTTTTGGTATGTCTTGTCAGAAGGAAAGAAGTATTGAAACTTTTTTTTTAAAGTTTTCTTTCTGTTCGGAAAAGTCTGCCAGCAGATCCTCTCCCTGATAGTTTGAGAAGTTGACATAATGGCCAACAGATGTTGCCACCCAAGTTTGATGCTGTCTTGATCTCTAGTTAGCTTTTGATGAGTTCAAGCACTAATTAAGCACTAGTCATTAAACAAAATTGTTTTCCAAAGGTTGACGCTATGACACTCAACGCCTTCACATAATTATAAGACGTCACCAAGGGGAGAGGAGTACATTTTGTTATTTGCAATTCTACAGCTTCAGTTGATGGGTGGGGAACTGCTTTGAGAAAGGAGTAGGATCACAAAGTCTGTTTATTTTTCTACACTCCAGTCCATTAAATCCATTAGTCTTTGGGCAGACATCAATTTGAGAACAGAGAAGCACTAACAATCCACTCCGTTTGGTACAGTGTTTTTTTAAAAAACAATGCATACAGTACTTTACTAGTATGGGGCTAGTAAAAAAAAGAAGAAGAAAGAAATGATTAAAAGAATAAAAATACCCATCGTGTTATAAAGGCATAGCAATTAAGATCTTCCCATACTATGAAAAAGGTTGTTGGGTTAAAACTTAGAAGAAGTTTTGACAGGCAGTATGATGCAGTGGTCAAAGTTTTGGATGAGGAGACCCCCATTGTATCCCTCCCTCCCTCTGGCAGCCATGAAAGCTTCTGGAGTGACTTTGGGCAGATTCGTAGAAAATACCTGCCATGGCGAAGAGAAATTCCATGCAGATTGATCAGATTGGAAAGGCCATCTCTGTTCCTTTTGCTCCAAATGGGATTAGATCTTCCCTGAAGGAAAGCAACTTGGACCCAGCATTGGCTCGATCTTTCCCAGGTTGAACCAATACCAGGACTCGGGGGGGGGGGGTCCCACTAGATGAAGCCTGTCTTGGTGTCCCTTCCCTCATCCAAGAGGTCTACGGCCACATTCCCTTCTTCAGCTGGTCTTTCAAAATACTGCATAAATAATAGACGGATTGCTGCATGACCAACCTTCCTTTGAAATCTCCCTCTTACCCAGACGACTCTCAACTTTCTCTTGAATTAATAAATTGTGCTGCTTTTCACATCTCCTTAGCAATCTAATTGCATCTCATAACTGTCAAGGGAGCTGGCATATGAAGAGTCAGGCAGGGCGTGAAACAAAGGATCGGATAGCTAGATAACAGTTGGATGTAATTTTTGTGTTTCTTGAAGTTACACTAAGCACTTCACCCTAGAGCTCCTACAAATGTACAAGGAGCTTTGTCCTCTTTAAAGAAATGGTTCCGTCAGTAAGAAATGGTGGATCAAACATCTAAACTGCGGGAGATAAAATGGTTATTATTTCCTCATTAAATTGATGGAAGTGTTTGCATAGCAATTCTCCTCACCAACAATACCTAAGCAATTTACAATAATAAAGCGGTATCTTGCAATGCAAAGAGAATAAAAAACAAAAGGGGACTTTAAAAAGATGTATGCTGACAAGATGTCGGGAATGGAGAAGGTTGTCATAAGATGGAAGATATAAAAAGAAGTCTAGAACATCTTAACATTGGGAGGGGTGAATTTGGCGGGGGGGGGACGACAGTTTTCATGAAGTTTATGATCTGTAGTCTGTCCTCCTAAAGAACTGAGCTGCCTGTGGGAAGCCACTAAAACTGGAGGCAGATAACTTAACTACCTAGCACTGATGATGTTACCTAGTTGGGTAATGAAACGTCTACAAACAAACGCACAAGATTAGAGAGCATCAAGGATCCCACAGTTCAACATTGAACTACAAACATTTTCTTTTGTGGGTAAGTTAACCTTCTCTCAAGTCCCTTCAAACTTTAACTGCTGCTCTCTACAGCTGTTGTGAAAGCTATATGGATCAGAGGTGGTATTCAGCCGGTTCTGACTGGTTCTAGAGAACCGTTAGCAGAAATTTTGAGTAGTTTGGAGAACCGGCAAATGCCCTGACTGGCCCTGCCAACCCCATCTATTATTCTCTGCTGCCTGAGTCCCAGCTGATCGGCTGGGTCTCCTTTGGTTGCCCTTCACAGGAGAACAGAGCTGGAAAGCAGGTTAGTGGGGTGGGGAGGGAAGGGGGATTTTTGCAGCAAGGGTCTTCAAACAGCTTGCAGACTTGTGGACTTCAACTCCCAGAATTCCTCCTCCAGGCATGTTAGCTCAGGAATTCTGGGAGTTCCACTAGTCTTAAACTTGCCAAGTTTGAAGACCCTTGTTTTACAGTTATCCTTCCCCTGCCACACCCACCAAGCCACACCTACCAAGCCACACGATGCCCACCAAGCTGTGCCCACAGAACCGGTAGTAAAAAAAATTGAATCCCACCACTGACATGGATGGTCCAATTGCTGCATGGAGCCACCACGAGTTGAGCTTCATTTGTACAACACCTCCAGTCCCAACAGGAGGACTAATTCATTGATCAAAGTTTAGATGCACAGATCACAAACATTTGACAGGCAACAGCTGTTTAGGATCTCTGTCCTGCCAACAAGCCAATAGAGAAAAAAAAGCCTCCTTCATCCAACAGGGAGAAAAACAATTGTTTCAGTGTTGACTAGCAACTGTAAAAATATGGGCCAATTTCCAGTACTTGTAAAACTTCGTCTCAGTGACAGAAAACTGCCATGGGGGTCTTTGGCTTTAAACCGAAAGTCGACTTTGTGAGCAATTCTGACATGTCCTCACTTGAGAATAACAACAGGACAAGGAGAGAGCAATGGCTACTCTGTTGGTAGTAGAAATGCAAACTGGTAGGAGGTTGAGGGAAACCTGTTGCCCCTCCCAAACCACCAGATGGTCTGTATGTATTGTTAAGAGCCAGTGGTTAGAGTGCAGTAATGCAGGCTATTTCTGCTGACTGCTGGTTACCTGCAATTTGGCCGTTCAAATCTCACCAGGCTCAAGGTTGACTCAGCCTTCCGTCCTTCTGAGGTGGGT